TCTGCCTGTTCTGTTCCCCTCTCTGTCTCTGGTGAATCCTCTCACCCTCCACATCTCTGGCCTGTACCCCAGTTCTGTATGAATAAATAAATCTTAAAAAAATAAAATAAAATAATAAGAATTGAAAGATTTTAGAAATGTGGCAAAAGAGAGGAAGTCAAATTTCAAGAGGAAATGCTGCATCCATGTACATTGCTTTTTCATATCAAAGAAATTATGAAAACAAAAGAACTACAAATTATTTTTGACAGGTGGTACAAAGCCTGATGACAGTCCGTTAAAACAGCAAAAATTGTCTTCAGAAAGATAATGTCAGTGGCAGAGTGTCAGCATCTGGCCTACCATGAAAAAGTCTCTTAAGAGCTTTTTCTTTCTCTGTTTTTGAAGGATCTATATATTCACTTTCAGACCACAGCAGTGTGTGTTTGTCATTTACTTGGCTTTTGAAATTGATCTAGGCAAAAAGTTTGTCCAAATACTACCTAATATATTGTTTGATAAAGGGTTTGTTCTGACTACTTAAAATTTTTTTTTTAAGATTTATTTGTTTATGCAAACATGAAGTAGAGTGTAGACTAGAGGTATGGCGGTGTGTGTGTGAGAGGATTCACCGGAGACAGAGTGGGGAGAAGAACAGACAAATTTACTGCTGAGGTGAGCAGCTGGCTGGTTAGAAGAGGTCTGTTGTGCCATGCGAATCACCTCCCTGGCCAGGGATCAAACTCGTGTTGAAGTGGCTGTGATAGCTTCATAGTGCTGCTCTTTAACCTGTTTCACCACCAGGGAGGGGCCTTTTAAAAAAAATTTTTTTTGGCAATACCTAATGGTTACATTTGAAATTTAGATTATTCTCAATTAAACAGCACCAAATAATAGTCAGACCTTTGAAGATCTCATACCTATTTTTGTAAGTGAATGGTTTAATCACCTATTATTCAGACACTAAACAGCTATAGTTCTAAGTTTTCATAAAAAGTCATATTCTTCTGGGCCCTCTCTGGTGGTGCAGCACTAAGAAGCTAAGGCCACTTGAGCACGAGTTCGAACCCTGGCCAGGGAGCTGACCCACATGGTGTGGCAGACCTCTCCTGACCCGCCTGCTGCTTCCCTCAGCAGTGTACTTTATCAATCTCCCTATTCTGCTCCCCACTCTGTCTCTGGTGAATCTTCTCATGACCCCTGTAACTCTGTCCTGTACCCTCGTGTATGCATAAAGAAATCTTTAAAAAAAAAAAAAAGAGCCATATTTTGCTAACTTCTCTTTTCATTATTTCACACAGTGGGAATTTCAGTTCACTACTTGGCGCTAGGTTTCGTTTACCCAGTAATGCCTTATACTAAAATTTCCTAAGTATTTAAAAAGAATTCAGTTTCTTCTTTGCATTTTGCCTGTGGGATTCAATAAGCCTGCCTTTCTTTTTTTGACATAGAGATTAAGGCAAAGTTAAGTGTTCCTTTAAAGACATATAATAGGTTCCCTCATCTTAGTCATCACATTAGCACACTGAAACAAGAGACCCAGGAGTTTGTCTGATAATTATCTTTCCATATGTGGCTTGCTCTGGAATTAGTAAATTTCTCTATTTTAGAATGTAAAATTAAAACAGATTTGCATGGTCTCACTGGTAGCACAAGGGGTTAAAACTCAGCACTATGGGCCCTCCCTGGTGGCTCAGCGGGCTAAAGCACAGCACTGAAGAAGCTAAAGCCACTTCCGCATGAGTTTGATTCCCGCCTGCCCCGGAGGAGATCCACATGGCGTGGCAGACCTCTCCTGGCCCGCCTGCTGCTCCCCTCAGCAGTGTACTTTGTCACTCTGCCTGTTCTGTTCCCCTCTCTGTCTCTGGTGAATCCTCTCACCATCCACATCTCTGGCCTGTACCCCAGTTCCATATGAATAAATAAATAAATCTTTAAAAAAAAAAACCAAAAAACTCAGCACTATGAAGTTATCTGTAGCCACTGCAGCATGAGTTCAGTCCCAGACCAGGGAGCTGACCGACATAGTACAACAGACCCTTTCTGTCTCACCCACTGCTCCCCTCAACAATGTGTTTCAGTAGATCTGCCTGTTCTGCTCCCCACTCTGTTTGGTGAAGCCTCTCAACCCACCAACTCTCATCGCCACCACCTCTAGCCTACAACACAGCTCCCTGCATAAATAAATAAAATAAATAATAAATGCATAAATTAAATAAAATAATAAATGCTTAAATAAAATAAATCTTAGAAAAAAAAGTTTGCAGCTTTGTATGCTAAACCTGACCAATTTGATGACTTTTGATCTAGCGCCTTTTTTTTTTTTATCTTTTTTTCACACAGATTGATAGAGCTACATTCTCCTGATAGCAGGAACACGCTGATTCTACGCTGCAAGGATACAGCCACGGCACACTCCTGGTTCGTAGCTATCCACACCAACATTATGGCTCTCCTCCCACAGGTGTTGGCTGAACTCAATGCCATGCTTGGTGCAACCAGCACAGCAGGAGGCAGCAAAGAGGTCAAGCATATTGCCTGGCTGGCAGAACAGGTAAGTTGGGAGGCAGAGCAAGGTCTTAACTGTTTTCCTTTCAGAGTTAGGATGGCTCCCTCATTTCATATATAACTGTAATGTTATCATGCACTTCTTGCAGGTCTTTTGTTTCTTCTCCATACCATTAACTATTTGGTGCTAATTACCACCTCCACCAGAACAATTGGTGGACATCATGATAATCAACATCACAACATAACTAAAAAGTAGTTCCTATTACCGTCTGTACTTGATGACAGAGGATATTGTTCCTGATTTTAGGCCAGTATCAGCAGACCTTTCATGGAAAGGGCAAGATAGTGTCACAACTACTTGAGTCTGCTACTGAAGTGAGAAAACAGTCAGAGACAATATAAAAATATATAGGTGTGGCTATGTTTCAATGAAACTTTATTTATAAAAACAGGTAGTTGCCTACATTTGGCACACAGGTCATAGTTTCCCATACCCCATACTCTACCTTTACAAATGAAACTTTAAACTTTGTAGTTTGTCCTTTCACACATGTATCATCCATACTCTTTGGATCTCAAGTTCAGGTAGACCTGATAACAGGGGAACCTACATTAATCTGAATATATTTGGTTCTTTAATCTGGTGGTACTAAAGCTCTTGATTAGAAAGATGCTAAACCAAAAATTTACACCAGTTTTTGAATTGGGATAGTGAGGACTAGAGACTAGAAGATGTTTCTATAAATCTGAAGATGTCTAGCTCAAAGAATATATTAGTTATTTTTCACTGTATAACAAATTACTCCAAGGCATAGTGACTTAAAGAACTTTTGCCTGACATAATTTCTAAGGATTGGGAATCTGATTGTGGTTAGCTGGTTATTCTGGTCCAGGATTCCCCATGAACTTGGAGTCAAGCTGTTAGCCAGCATTGCAGTCATCTGAGGGCTTGATGGGTTGCTGGTTCCACTTCTGGTAAGGTTCATATATATGGCTGTTGGCCCAAGTCCTCAGCTCAGTGTCATGCAGGCCTCTTGAGCAGGGCTGCTTGTCTTCATAACACGGCTACTGGTTTTTCCAATGCGTTGATGGAGAAAGATGGAAGCCACAGTGCCTTCTGTGATATAAATTCTTCTACTTCATGCTTTTCATTAGAAGTCAGTTACTCTAAGTCCAAACTACACCCAGGGGCTCTACCTTTGAAAGAGAAAAGTAGTAAAGAAGTTGTGGGCATATTTTCTGAACAATCACAGAGGGCATACATATTTGTAACTTTGGTAAATATTGCCAACTGAACTCTCTCAGGGTTTAATTAATTTAGAACTTGAGAAACATATAAGAGTTACCAGACAAACAAATATATACATATCTCGTGTGTGTGTGTATGAAGTATACATACATAACTTTTCATATACAAATGGTGACATAGCAAAATACTTCTGGGTTTTTTTTCCTGTGGTACAGTCCAAAGATGCAGGGGCGATGAGAGGATTCACCAGAGACAAAGTAGAGAGTCGAACAGGCAGAGCTACTGAAATACACTGCTGAGGAGAGCAGCGCGTGAGACAGGAGAGGTCTGCCACACCATGTGGCTCACCTCTGGCGCTGGGATCAAATTTGCACTGAAGCTGCTGTGGCTCACTTGCAGTGCTGTGCTTTAACCTGCTGCGCCACCAGGGGGGGCCCAGTTTTTTTCTTTTTTACTGACTATATCTTGGAGAACTTTCCATATCTTCAAGTACAGATATGCTATATCCTTTTAAAAAAAAAGCTGCATAATATCTACTTAAAACATAATTTATTCAGTCTTCTATTTCTTTAAAAAAAGACTTATTTACTTAACACATACAAGAACTGGGTATAAGCCAGAGGTGCAGGGGGTGAAAGGACTCACCAAAGAGAGAGAATGGGAACAGAGTAGGCAGACTGGCTGAAATTAATGCTGAGGGGAGCAGCGGGTAAGACAAGAGAGGTCTGCCTCACCATGTGGGTCACCTCTCTGAGAATTGAACTCATGCTACAATCCCTGCAGACAGCTTCACAGTGCTGTACTTTAACCCATTGCAACACCAGGGAGGGCCCTGGTCTTTTTAGTTTGCTCTGATTATCATAATAAAATAAATAACAAATATATTATCTGACAAAAAAATTTTAGAACTGAAAGTGAATAATAACTACTAGTCCTTTTTCACTGTCAGTGCTATCCAACTCTATCAGAAAGTAAAATTTGGAGAAGGCCGTTGTTTGGCCAGGTGTATGTTTGTGTGGGTGTTGAAACACAAGCAGACTGAAACCCTAACATTAGTATCCCTTTTTTCTCTGTCCAAAAATCCAATAGTAGAGCACCAAGACTGCCTAGACTGACATCGCAACAGAAAACACATACTATATATAGTAGGCAGCATTTTGAGTCCAGTGAAAACAAACATTATCCTTATAAATTAGGGCAGGTAGGCAAATAGAATGATTTAAATTAAGGTTTTATTTTTCTCCAGTGGTAAGAAGAGGGAAAAGATAATCTCCAAAAACTAAGGATTCAAAGAGCTAACTAAGGATTCAAAGAGCTAAAGAATGAATACTTTTTAACTTTTTTTTTTTTTTTAAGAATTTATTCATACAGAACTGGGGTACAGGCCAGAGGCTCAGGGGCGGTGAGAGGCTTCACCAGAGACAGAGTGGGGAGCAGAACAGGCAGATCGATGAAGTACACTGCTGAGGGAAGCAGCGGGCGGGTCAGGAGAGGTCTGGCTCGCCATGTGGTCTCCTCCGGGGCAGGCGGCAGGCGGGAATCGAACTCATGCGGAAGTGGCTTCAGATTCTTAGTGCTGTGCTTTAACCCGCTGCGCCACCAGGGAGGGCCTTTTAACTTTTTTTTTAAAAAAAGATTTATTTATTTATTCATACAGAACTGGAGTACAGGCCAGAGATGCGGAGTGTGAGAGGATTCACCAGAGACAGAGCGGGGAGCAGAACAGGCAGAAGTACACTGTTGAGGGGAGCAGGGGGCAGGTCAGCAGAGGTCTGCTGCACCATCTGGTCACCTCCGGCAGGGATTGAACTCATGCAGAAGTGGCTCCAGCCTCCCAGTGCTGTGCTTTAACCCACTGTGCCACCAGGGAGGACCACTTTCTTTAATTAAACAGCAAATTTGGGCTCAACCAATTAAAGTGCAGCACTGTGAAGCTCTACGAAGCCACTGTAGCATGAGTTCTATTCCCAGCAAGGAAGGTGACCAACGTGGTGTAGCAGACCTCTCCTGACCTGCCCACTGCTCCCCTCAACAGTGTATTTCAGTAGATCTGCCTATTCTGTTCCCCACTCTGTCTCTGGTGAATCTTCTCACCCACATCTGTGGCCAATACCCCAGTTCTTATATGTATGAATAAATAAATCTTTAACAATAACAACAAATTTTGTTGCAAAATTGGATATTGCTTCTATTGGCAATAGCAATTTTCCTTTAAAGTCTAAAATTTCATCTTTGGAAAGAAATCTATTTAATTTAGGTTTTTAAAATGTATTTACTATGATCTGGTCTTCAAAATCTCTTAGAACTTGGTGAAAATATTAATTTAAAAATCACCATTTTTGGCCCTCCCTGGTGGCGCAGCAGGTTAAAGCACAGCACCAAGAAGCTAAAGCCACTTCCGCATGAGTTCGATTCCCGCTTGCCCTGGAGGAGATCCACATGGCGTGGCAGACCTCTCCTGACCCGCCCGCTGCTCCCCTCAGCAGTGTACTTTGTCGACCTGCCTGTTCTGCTCCCCACTCTGTCCCTGGTGAATCTTATCACCCTCTGCATCTCTGGCCTGTGCCCCAGTTCTGTATGAATAAATAAATATCTTTTTTTAAAAAATCACCATTTTCAGCCCACTGCTGCGTTCCCTGGAGAACAGCCTCTCATTACAGGTTCAGAGGGTTTAAAGCCTTAGACCTACTCAGCACCAAGTCTAGGGTCAGCGTTTTTACTGTCTGGCTACCCAATATATGGGAAATCACCCCTCAGGAGTTTCATGACCACTGCAGAAAGCAGAAAAAGTATGGGCACATTGAAAAGAGCCTGAAGAGGAAATGGTTCAGTTTCAGTTTTTATTTGAAATGTTCTTTACCAATAGCTAAAAACACTTGCATTCAATAAGTATACCTACACCTATATCACCTATTTATTTGCACCTTATCGTCTTAGGTATAGGAAGTGACAGTGGGACCTTGTATTTCAGCATTGGCTCTCTTGCTTGCTAGCAGTGTGACCTAGCAATGAGAATCAATGCCAATTATTGGTACTGAGGCTGGGCTGCACCTGAGGGGGGAAAAATCACCATTTTAAACCTTTGGGAAGATAGATTTTACATTACTTTATTGAAATATTATCCTTAGTAGTCTCAGAGACAAAGACTTATTATTATGCATTGCACCCTCCCCGGTGGTACAGTGGATTGAAGCACAGCACTGTGAAGTTATCTGTAGCCACTGCAGCACAAGATTGACCCCTGACCAGGGAGGTGACCCATATGGAGCAGCAGCAGCAGACCTCTCCTGTCATACTGCTCCCCTCAGAACTCAGAAGTGTATTTCAGTACATCTGCTGTTCTGCTCCCCACTCTGTCTCAGGTGAATCCTCTTACCCCCCCTGCATCTCTGGCCAGTACACCAGTCCTTGTATGCATAAATAAAAAATAAATCTTTTTTTTTTCTTTAAAGAATTAGTATAATACATAAAGACTTGAAATTCTTTCAGGTTTCTATGACCCCATAATGTAGGGATCCAAGAGAACCTCTGTAGAGCTGATATTCTCCCCCCAGGTAGGGAGATTTACTTCCCCCAGGTAGGCATAGCATAATACAGAATCTTAGAACACTTGGATCATTCAATAAGAAAAGTGTCACTATTTCTACAATGCTTTGCGTGAATTCTCAGTCAGTCTTACATTTTGTGCTTTTAGCATGTGATAGGGTAATTTCACTGGTAGAATTCATTTCTCAGCTCCTGGAATTAACTTATGGTTCTAGCTTGAAGAAGAGTGTCCTCTTTGTAGATGTTATGACACAGAACTGAATCACTCAGGGCATTTTGCAGATTATAAGTGTGCTATTTAGGTGTTCTGAAACATCAACATTACATTCAGAAATCATTAAGAAAGAGAAGAAAGAAGGTGGCTTTGAAGACAATGCTTTAAAAGACAAGTGATTAATGAATTTTAATTCTCCTTTAAGCTGAAAGTAATGGTGAACTGAAGAATCATTATTAAAATGCACTGTGGTTAGGCCCTCCCTGGTGTCTCAGTGGGTTGGAGCACGCATTATGAAGCTAAGCCAAGCCATGGCCGCTTCAGAGCAAGTTCGATCCTGGGTCCTGGAGGTAACCATATGACAGAGCAGACCTCTCCTGACCCGCCCACTGCTCCCCCAGCAGTCTACTTTGTGGATCTGCCTGTTTTGCTCTCTACTCTGTTTCTCGCTGCCCCTGCACTTCTGGCCTATACCCCATTTCTGTATGCATAAATAAATAAAATCTTTAAAAAATAAATGCACTGTGGTTTAACAGTCCCTGCCCAAAGGTTTCATCTGCTGAGGGCAAACGTTCTGATGATACCAGGACTTTCTTAAACATAGTCTTTTACTTTTTGGCTTTGGAACTGTGACAATATGGATAAATAGTGGTTGCTTTCCAGCATCTTTAAACCCCAAAGAGATTACTGAGCTTTATGCAAGTAAGTACAGTGGTACATTTGAAACTGAAATATGAATTTCTAAAAATATAATTGGAGATCTTTGATAGTTTTCATCAGTTGTTTCCTAAGTAGAACTTAGTTGGTCTTGATCTTATTTTATTTATTTATTTAAATTTATTTTTTTATTTATGCATATAAGAACTGGGATATAGGCCAGAGGTGCAGGGGAGAAGGGGATGAAAGGATTAATCAGAGAAAGAGTGGGGAGCAAAACAGGCAGATCCACTGAAATATACTGCTGAGGGGAATAGTGGCTGAGACAGGAGAGGTCTCTCACACCATGTAGGGTCAGCTCCCTGGCCAGGGATCAAACCTGTGCTCCCAGTGGCTGCAGAGAGCTTCACAGTGCTTCACTTTAACCCATTGTGCCACCAGGGAGGGCCCCATTTTTAAAAATAGAATAGAAATTATCAGAGGACTTTGCACAAAGTATAGAAGATTGTGTTTTGGAGCATTTTTTATACAGTTATATGTATGTACATATTGGGTTACAATAAAATACATTTCTATTATAGGTCTTTATAAAAAATATTGGGAGAACATTGATGTTTACAATAAACACACTGGGTTGGTAATAGAATTTTGTGTTTCTACCCTATACTTAGAACATGTTACTTCCACATCAGACGTAATAAAGCTGTTATTTTAAACAGATTACTATTGGTGATGATTCATTATTATGTAACATAGAGAAAATTGTGTTATGTTACTGGATGCTATCTATAATTCATGTGGGGAGTTTTTCAAACTATGTATTTTATCTAACACCTCCCAATGGAGAATCCCTACTTATGGGCAGGATGTTTCCAGTACCTCAAGTGGAGAAACAAAATGGAGATCTATTATGTTAGGTTATCACTGAATAGGCTTTTACAATTACATATCTTTATATATTTTTGGAAAGATTTATTTATGATGCATGCAGAACTGTGGTACAGGCAAGAGGTGCAGGGGCAGTGAGAGGATTCACCAGAGAGAGAGTGGGGAGCAGAACAGGCCAATCAAGAAGTACACTGCTGAGGGGAGCCGAGGGTGGGTCAGGAGAGGTCTGCCATGCCATGTGGGTCACCTGGGACCAGGAATGGAACTTACACTGAAGTGGCTGTGGCTCATTTGCAGTGCTGCATTTTAACCCGTTGTGCCATCAGGGAGGGTCCCATATCTTTATATTTTTTCTGCATTTTGTATTTTGCCATTGTAACAGGCAAAACTAGATGGTGGAAGACAACAGTGGAGACCAGTGCTCATGGCTGTGACTGAGAAGGATTTACTGCTTTATGACTGTATGCCATGGACAAGAGATGCCTGGGCATCACCATGTCATAGTTACCCTCTTGTTGCCACAAGGTAAGAATAAAAGTAAAAGTAAAATACTAATGTAACTTCAAATCTAAAGAATTTTAAAGGGAATTTTATTATTGAGGCACCTACAATAGTATTTAATTACAAAGAAATTATATCTAACAGTATTTAGTAGCTGATATAGTTGCCTGAGACCAAGACATTCCTTTTACCATCTTATTAATTTGCAGCGCCTAGACAGAACCAGTTGCATTTTTAAAGTTGTTGAAGCAACTTCCCAGCAGCTCCTGTCAAGACTTGCTTAGTCATGAAGATAAGTAAATAGTGTGCTTTTTCTTAACTTTATTGACTTTGACTAGAAAACCACCGACAATTGTGGCAGCCTTTGTCTGCGTGATGAAAGCATTTCAACCAGAATGTGGTACTGTGGATAAACCACACAATTCAGCCAAAATATTCTTCAGCTTCTCTGTCTAGTATAAAAGCGCATAATTTTGATTCCATCAAATAACATGGATTTGACTTGCAGCATCAGAATGTTTTCTAGCCATATGTGGGAATGAGAAAGGACAAGCAGAACATAGATTTGGAGATCAAGATGCCTTAAAAGGTTAACTAGACACTGGTTACCTAGTGAAAATAGAAAACACATTCACATTTAGCTTTATTTGGATTTACAAAAGAATCAGGTATTAGTAGAACTCAAAAACTATACATTAAAAAGGAGCCCCAAAGAAAAAAACAAATGATGGGACATCAGGTACAGAGCACAGGGAAGTGCATGGGGGTTCCTGTTTTGAGCAGGCGAAGATTCAGCTGAGGAAGAATATTATTTGCTTTACATGAGACTTTCACTTTACATAGGATTTCCATCAGCTTACCAAGTTTCTTACATATATCATTTTTTTTTAATGAAAATATAATTTTCATGCAGCTTTTCAGGTATATTTCTGTAGTTTAAAGCTGGAACAACTTGATTGGGTTACTAATTCCTTTAGGAGAAGAGGGCCCTAGGGAAGACTGAACTGTTAGTTTTTCTGTTTTTTTTTTTTTTTATTTTTATCCCCACTCAATTATAATCTCCCTAAGGTGAGAAACTATGACTTTGTCATCTCAGCACTTTCACAATGTTTTGCATATGATAGAATAATAAGTAGATCAATAAATCTTACTTTAATTAAATTCTATTACTTAAATTGTAGTTTCTTTGTCATGGTACCTTTAGGAGCATTATAGGAACCCAATGAGGAAACCTGTGAATATGTCTCAATAGTTATAATTAAAACAAACATTTATTTTTGAAGATTCAGGGCTCGTAAATCTGGTTGTAGAGATTTCTTAACTTTAATGTGCAAGGAGCACATACTTTAGTTATGGTCATACAATGCATGAAGAAGTAGCTTTAGGTTTAGATATTTCCTTAACTGTGTCACTGGAGAAACTTATGGCATCTCATAGATGAGCCTAGGTTCAATACCAGGAATGACATTTCCATAAACAAGTAATTTCTGAATGTAAATTGTATCTAAACCACCAAAGCATTTGAGCATGAAAGAGAAAACATGGTGGTTGTATGTGTTCTATCACTCTAGTATTAATTGGTATTAATTTACAACTGGGGAAAAGATACAAATGATTTAAATGCTAAATCTACAAACTCTTAGAAAGTACAGGACCTTGACTTTGATTTGGGCAGATTCTACTTAGCTATGATAACAAAAGCATAGGCAAAAAGAAAAAATAAATAAATGGAACTTCATAAAAATTAAAAGCTTTTGCTTGAAATGTTATCAAGAAATTGATATCAAGAAAAGTCAACCCACAGGAGAAAATATTTGCAAATCATTTATAATCTGGGATTTGTATCTATAAAGATACTCAAGATACAAAAATATAAAGAACTGTTACAACTCAATGATAAAAAGATATGCTACCCATTTAAAAATAGGAAGAGTTTATATTTGCTAGTTGATTTTATTTTTTAATTACAGTTACTTTTTTTCCTGCCTGATCCCTTACACTCCTGCTATGAGTGAAACCATAGAGACATTCTATAGGGGAGGAGAGGGGCACAGGATCAAAACTGGGGTGGGAAGAGCACCCGGCACTATGGTGATGACACATGGGTGAAGTGGTGGTGGGAAGTCCACGAGGATTACAACTGAGATGAAAAATGAAGATGCAAAAATATATATAATAAAAAAGTAAAAAAAAATAGGAAGAGGAACTGAATATATACATCCAGAGAAGATATACAAATAACCAGTGATCACATGAAAATTATGATCAACTTAAGTACACATCAGGAAAATGCAAATCAAGACCACAATAAGATACCATGTCCTACCCACTAGGGTGGTTATAACTAAAAAGACAGATAATAACAAGTATAGAGTAAGATATGGAGAAAATGGAACCCTCAGTTATTGCTGGTGGTAATTTAAAAAGGTACAGTTGGTGTAGAAAACAATCTGGCAGTTACTAAAAAAGCTAAACATCAATTAACACAGCAGTTCCACTCCAAACTTGTATACTCAGGAGAAATGAAACCATGACCACACAAAAACTTACACATAAATTTTGTGGCAGTTTTATTCATGATCCCTATACAGTAGAAATAATTAACTGCCCATTGACTGATGAATAGACAAATGGTGGTAAATCCATATAATGGAATATCACTCAGCCATAAAAAATAGTTTCTGATTTCTCTTGCAACATAAATGAACCATGAGGACTTTATGCTAAGTCAAAGAAGTCAAACTCAAAAAATTATATATTGTATGATTCTGTGGATAAGAAATGTCTGGATAGGCAAATCTGTAGAGATAAAAAGTATTTATTTCCTTAGTGAGGGTGAGGGTTGGGAGAAATAGGGAGTAATTGCTCTTGGATATAGAGTTTCTTTTGGGAGTGATGAAAATGTTAATGTTAAATGTGATGGTTTCGCAGTTGAGTATACTGCAATCCATTAAACTGTATGCTTCAAGTGGGTCAGATATGTGAATTGTATCTCAAGCTATTATAATTAAAACAAATTAACAACAAAATAATTATAAAATTTAATAAACAGGACTAAGACCAATCCTTGAGCTGGGATTGAATCCCTGGTCTGCCATTGGGAGCATTTTAACTAACCTTTCCGTGCCACAGATATTTTTGTTTGTTTAGTGGCCCCTACTGAGATTGGGTAGGTGTGAACATCAAATATACTAATACTTTAAAATGTCTTCAGCAGTACCTATGTTGAAATTATGTCAAAGAAGAATTCCATGTCACAAATACATATAGTTTAATTTTACCATTGTTAAGAGTAAGTTTAGCTCTATTCAAAAGTTTGTATAGGGGCCCTCCCTGGTGGCGCAGTAGGTTAAAGCACTGCATTGAGAAGCTAAAGCCACTTCCGCATGAGTTCGATCCCTGCCTGCCCCGGAGGTGACCACATGGCACCGCAGACCTCTCCTGACCTGCCCGCTGCTCCCCTCAGCAGTGTGCTTCGTCCATCTGCCTGTTCTGCTCCCCGCTCTGTCTCTGGTGAATCCTCTCACCCTCCGCATCTCTGGCCTGTACCCCAGTTCTGTACAAATAAATAAATAAGTCTTAAAAAAAAAAAGTTTGTATAGGTAATAAGAGTTATATATTATAATGGGAAGAATTCAAGTGTATTATTAGGATCATCCTAGACTTGCAATTGAATTTTGCCACTAATTAAATGGGTGGGGCCTATAACTCTTAACTCATTGCTTCTTGACAAGTTTAATTAATATAGTAGCAGTGATTCTTTACTCCTTGTTCAGGAAGTGCCTGTGGGTTAGGAGCAAAGATTACAGGCAGATGGGAGGTTTAGTTTTTCCATGTGGCCTTGTCAGCCAGGTGGAATTGGTTGAAGTTACTGCATGGGAGAATTAGGTGAGATTTAATCTTCTGAACTTAAAGACACTAAAGGTGAAATCAGACTAGGATGTATCCTGCAAAGAAAGGCAAGACCAGAAAGTAGTGTGCTTATGTCTTTTTAGTGTGGGAAAGATAATTTGAGAATTATGCAATGAGAAAGAGTAATTCTTTCTCTAATATTTTGGAACATATACTTGTGAAAAATGAGATAAAAAAAAAAACCATAAACACATCAGGTAGGGAAACAAAGTAAGGGCCTTGATTATTTCCAAAGTAGATAACCCCTGAAAAAATTAATTGTAGTTCAGGAGCTTCTCTGGTGGTGCTGATGAAGCTTCAGCACCAGTTCGAACCCCAGCCATGGAGCTACCCACATTGGACACCAGTTCAATCCCCAAATTGCAGCACCGTTCGGGTGTAGCCAGGGAACTACCCACATGGGGCTGCAAACCTCTCCTCACCTACTCCCCTCAGCAGTGTATTTCAGTAGATCTGCCTATTCTGTTCTCCAATCTATCTCTGGTGAATCCTCTTACACACACCGCTACACACCCTCTGGCCTACTCCCCAGTTCCTGGATAAATAAATAAATTAAATCTTTAAAAAATAATTGTATTTCAAAAAAATCAAAGAAAAAATCAAGAACATGTTAGGGTAATGGTAAATTAATATGAGTAATCATTTGTATTGGCTTGCACATTTATAAATTCTGGGAAACCAAAGGGAGGGAGGGGTGTGTGTGTGTAATATTTCATCATTATGAGAAATTAAAACATGGAAGTGGCAATATTTTTTAATCAAGGATTTTTATTTATTTTATACATTTCTTGAGACTAATGCCAGATACATGATATAGTTAGAAAATCACATTTTTTTAATATATTTTTTTTACTCTTTAACTTTTTTTTAAAGATTTATTTACTTATGCATACAGAACTGGTGTACAGGCCAGAGGTGCAGGGGCGGTGACAGGATTCACCAGAGGCAGAGTGGGGAGCAGAACAGGCAGAACAACAAAGTACATTGCTGAGGGGAGCGCCACCAGGGAGGACCCTCTCATTGTACATTTTTGTACAATATTTAATTTCTCCCCTCAGGTGTAGTGCTCATAAATCTCCCGCAACCACATCATCCATGAACCATCACTATAG